TGTGTATTGACTTTATGAGAGTTAATGAGTTACGGGAGTCAGTAAAAACTGTAAAAGAGGAAGAAGAGAGTGAGTATATGTGTTTTAGGGCAAAAAGGAGTGCATACAGTTCTGTAGGAAAGACACTGGATTCAGGAGGAAGGGAGTATTTGAAAGTACGAGTTGGGAATATTACTGCAAAACCAGCACCAGAGGTGGATTTGGAGCCATCAGTATATACGTGTATACTAGAGGAATGGGTGGAGACACGGTCAAGGAAATGGATGAGAAGGACAGTAGGAGGAATATTTGATTTTGGTGGGTCGGGGAAAACAGAAGAGCAAATATGGGGGTGAGGTATAAGCCATGGAAGGACGGAATGGACAGAGAACGGGGGAGGTTGGAGATGGGGGAAAGGGGAATGGGAGAGGAGGGTATCCATGCGAGTGGAGAAAGGAGTAGGTAAGCGTGGAGATGAAGCTAAGGTAGGAAGTAGGGATTGTGGGATAGTTAATTTAGTGAGGGGAAGTTGGTGGAAACGAACATAACATCGGCCTTCATGAGTGTTGCGGCACGATTGTAGGGCAGTAATGAGTTCAGAGGAAGAAAAACGAGCATTATAGGACTCAGCGGAGGATGGGGTGAAGGTAATGGGGGTACTTTCTCTGGTGGTCTTGATAGAAGAGAAGTGTGGAGAAAGGTGAGAACCACTACTGACCTGGCTGAAATAATCACCCAGTTCATTAGCGACTTGAAGAGGATCAGAAATGAGGGTATCTCGAATATGGAGGACGGGGGCAGGATGGGGGGGATGTTTGCCTGATAGTTTATGGATTCGGCGCCAAACATTTGAGATAGATGTAGAGGATGTAATTGATGAAACATAATTTCGCCAGCTATTTGTTTTACTATTCCGGATTGTACGACGAAGACAGACAGATGCTCTTTTAAAGGAGATAAGGGCTGATAGTTGATTTGGAGTACCTCTCTTGTAGCGGTAACTGTTCCAGGCTGCACGTTTTAAGCGAAGTGCTTTAGTGCAATCAGAATTCCACCATGGAACACATTTAGAGGTATATGGTCTTGAGGTTCGAGGGATAGCTGTATGTGCAGCTCTTAAGACTGTAGTTGTGAAACACTATAATTTCTGAAATGGAGGTGAGGGAGGATGGAGGGGTATGAATAGCAGAGAGTGAAGTGAAAGTATGCCAGTCGGCTCTATCAAAGCACCAGCGTGGGGAGTTAGGAAGTGGTTCGCATGAAGTAGGAGAAAGGAGAACTGGAAAGTGGTCACTATAGGGAAAGTGGTCTAAGACTGACCAGTGGAAATCTAAATGAAGAGAAGGGGAGCATAGAGAGAGGTCAATGCATGAAAAAGATTGCGTGCGTGTATCAAAGTGTGTGGGGCGATCTGAATTTAGAATAGTAAGGTCAGCTGTGGAGAGGAAGCGCTCTAGAGATCGGCCTCGGGAGTTGGTAATAGAATCACCCCAAAGAGTGTGGCGGCAGTTAAAGTCGCAAAACTATGAGGAAAGGTGGTTGAAGTTGGGAAATTAGATTTTCAAAAGCAACAAAATCAACGGGGTGGGAAGGGGAGAGAAGTAGACTGAAATCACTGTGATCCAACGATGAAGGAAGATACGAATAACTGTGCAAGGGACATTAGTTTGAAAGGGAGGTGTGACATAAGGTGTTTTCTGATTGATAAGTATGGACGAGACATAAAGGGAAAGTGGGGAAGAGACAAAATGATAATTGGGGATTGGTATTGGAGGATGTGTAAGAAAAGTTCTTGAAGGCATACAATAGATGGGTTATAAGAGGAAAGGATATGACGAAGGTCAGGTCTGTGGGAGCGGAAACGCGAATATTCCAATGAAGGATAGTTATACTTTCTTTGATTTAGTGATATAGACTGTAGTACGTGTTGGAGAATTTGAAGGGGAAGCAGCTAGAGGGTGGGATAAGGACTGAGAGGTTTGAGATGGGAGAGGTGTGGGAGTTGGTGTTCCATCAGGAGGGGTATTAGGAGATGGAGGGTCTGAGGAAGGGGATACTTGTGACATAAGGGATTCACGTGTATCGAGGAGGGAGTGGAAGGGATAGAGGGGATGGTGGGAGGGTTAATGTGGGCGGGGTTGGGGTCGGGGGGGATGGGCTGTGCTGGGAGGGGGTAGGAGGATAGGGTTGTAGGGGGGATATCGTTAGGAGGAGGATGGATATCAGCAGTTACTTGGAGTGTGGAAGGAGCAGGAGTTATAGGTTGAGTGTCAGTTTTCATTAAGTAATCTTGAATATTTTCAATAGTTTCTTCTGAGGAGTTGGTTGGGGAGTTTTGGGGGATAAAGGATTTCTTGTGAGGGGGGGAAGAGAGGACTGGTGTTTCAAGAGTAGGGGCAAAGGATGGTGGAGGTGATTGTGTGGTAGGGGAAGAGGGGGTGGAACGTTTGTTCTGTCTGTTACGGGTAGTGCAAGGAGGGAGAGGGGAAGGTGTTGGGGTTGTAGCGGTGATCGGAGTATCTGTAGTAGAGATTGGAGTGTCTGGATTTAGGATGGCAAGAGTTTGACTGTGGAAGGTAGGAGGTAGAAGTGGGGGGAGTTAGATGTAGGAGGGGTGGGTTTAGGAGAAGTGTTAGAATGAGCAGTATTACTGGAGTAAGGAGTAAGAGAGAATCCACGTCGACGTGCTTCCCGTCTGGCTTCACGCAGTGTGAGTCCAAGTTTGAATCTGAGAGTTGCTACCTCACTCAAATTTGTAGGTGGGACAGCCCCTATAAAATACATTATAGGGGCCGCCACAGTTGGCACAGGTGCGTGATTGTGCAGAGCAGTTAGATCGGGTATGGCCAGGTTGGGCACATAGTGGGCATCTGGCTGTGGAACGGCAGTGTTTGGCTGGGTGTCCTAGACGCCAACAATTTTGGCACTGACGTGGAGGAGGTTGGTATGGACGAACAGGGAGGGATTCTCCTCCTATGTAGACGTTAAAGGGAAGGTCATGTCTACGGAAGGTAATTTTGGCTATGTTAGTGGGTTTCTTTCGATGACCTCTGGGGGAATGGAGTAGCATTGTACTGATGTTGCATCATAGTCTGTGAGACAGGCAAGCAGGTCTTCTCCACAATCTGACCAATCTTTGTCATAGATTGGGCAATTTGCTGGGGGGATTGAAACTGTTTCGGTGCAAGTATTGAGGGTTGGATGGGGTTCTGCAAGGATGGGGTTACCATATAGGTCAGTTAGTTTTGTTAATGCTATAGCTTGGTTTTCGGATGTTACTGTGACAAGACGGGAGCGGTCGGGTCGGCTACGGAGAGAGACTTTACCTGCTTGTTTTTGGAGACATTGTTGGAAGAGAAGGGTGTTATCAGAGTAGGGAGTTGTGGGAGGGATCACGAAAAATCGGTCCCATTTGGCTGCGCTACAGAGAGTATTCAAGATTGTTTTAGAGATAGGAGTAGTAGAAGGGCGGGGGGCGTGACGAAGATGGAGTAGTGTTGAGGGAGGTAGTGTTATGGAGAGGTGGGCTATAAGGTTGTAAGGTATTAATAAGGGAGGATGGGGTGGTTGATGTTGGAGGTTGTGGGGGTAGAGGTGTTGAAGTTGAGCATGCTGGGAGAGTGGAATGTTCCTTGAGGGTTGACTGTTGGCTACTGTACTAGTAGATATTGATGAGGGGGTAGTTATTGCAGTGTTCGGAGCCGTGATCAAAGGAGAGCCTGGGGTCAGGGAATCGGGTGGGTTTACTTCGTTAGGGCTATTTGATAAAGGGGCAAGCCTCATTGCCCCTAATAGTGGGGATATGTTTTCATTACTGGCCATGGTAAGCCTGGATTATGTTGGGGATAAAAACAGTCCACCCCTCAGGGTCCCCTTGAGGGGTAAGGGCTAGGTATAAATCAGGGGAATACCGTGCCCATGGCTCCCTCAGGCCGTTCGGGACTGGCACAAAGTCAACCTTTCATCCTTTCAGCACGGCTCTCACACCTTAGGAGGTGGATAGCAGAAGGGTTTGGTGAAGGGACAGAAACGAAAAGTGGGAAGGGAAAAAAAAGACCATGCAAAATTAGTTGAGTCGAGGGCTGAGTCCCAAGGTTGGGGAGTTCCCCCATCATTGGGTCCCAGTCTCCGCCTCCTATGCCCCCCCACGACATCAACGGGCAAGGGATTGGGGGGGTTCGTGTCGTGAAGGTAACGGATGTTGGCCCTGGTTGATTTACTGGCAGATATGTAGAAATCCTTAGGAGATTTTCTTCCCAACAGTTAGGGATATGGGGTTTCCTGAAACAGATCACTTCTCTCTTATTGAGGACAACAGTCCCATCCATACCAGCCGTGTTGTCGAAGATTGGTTTCCTGAACATCTGCCCAGATTTCAATCCCATTGAAAACGTGTGGGCAGCGATGTCAAAATACATGCATCAAGACCACACTCATAATTGTGTCGCAATCTTGAATACCTTGCAAACACAGGGACGTTTATTATGTGAGGAAGGCGTGCGTGGACAGTCGAGTTAGTGGTGTCTGTTTCGACGCTAGAACTGTTTTTTGGCAGCATGGTGTAGTAACAATATTTTCCATATTTTGATCTTAATGAAAGATGCCAATAGCCATTAGCCATATTATAATAACCGTGAGAGTAGCACCTGTCTAGTATTACAATTGACCCAACAAAAAAAGGACAAGAAAGCTAAAGTATTAAACCATATAACAAATCATTTGTGAATTTATTGCTTCTAATTCATGATTTACCAAAAGTAGTTGGAAAATCAGGTGTACCAACAGTTTCCTAGCGTTAACACCTAAATTTCAAAAAGTTCTGTTGTGTGTCACAATGTTAGCCATAATTTTCTAACAAAGTTTTCTTGTAGCTGTGCACATGTGGCATACTAGGCTTAGTGAACCATCTGGGATCAATCACTTTGAAAAGTTCAAGGTCTTTAGTGAATCTGTACTCCTTGTACTACACAATTTTTTTGCCACTGTTCATTTCTCCTCCTCAGGGAATTAGGAAATAAATATTCATTGGGGTTCATTTATTCTACATTCCACAGTATATTACATTCTTTAGTTCACATTTTCTTACAACAGCTGTATCATGAATTACCTAAATAAAATTCTAGCCATTTACAATGTTACTTTACCACAAATCTAAAGAAATTTAATAATTTTGTGCAGGAGTAAGATGACAAGTACAGAGCTGCCGATCAGTCACCTGAAAATAAAAGAATGGTTATTTATGTCAATAAAAGTTTCACACTATATGCTATATATAACACTGTCAGATATTCACTTCTTTTAATGTCAGTTGACGAAAAATAAGATCATCTAACTATGCCTTATTAGCATGGATAGTCCTCTAGTTGAGAGGACAATGCATTGCTTCCTCTATCTCATCTTTTAGTGCCCTCTCTTTATACTAACTGCCATTTCTCTGCTGAAATTTCCCATGCTCACTTCCACTCCTCTAACCAATATATGCTTTCCTAAAAATAACAGAAAAGGGAAATCAGTATTAGCAAGAAGGCACTGTTCATCTTTTAAGATTCTGCTACAGTTTTTCACTGAACAATCCAACCCTAAATATATTCATATTTACGATACAATTCTAACTTTTAAAAAAATAATTGGATACAAAGACTATATATATTTTAAGATACCTTCTGTCCACAGAGCAATGCAACAAGTATCACATCAAGAGAATCTGAAATTCAGTATGTGTGGTAAAATAAATACAAACCACATTTCCACATAATATAGTTTGTGCATATATCAGATGTTCATTTCTACACTTATTATATCAGTTGACGAAAAATAAGGTCATCACTAAATGAATAACAATATTTACATAAATTTTGATCACTTACTAGGTTTGTTTAGAGGCTGCAAAAATCCCACCAACTGCCAGCCTGCTCTCCCAATAAATCTGAAAACAGAACTTGTGAGTTTTGTTCATTTAACCGCTTAAACAGTCTAGTTGCATTTGGTTTCTCAGTGAGAGAGTTATTCATCAACACTCAGTATTTCCTGTAAGGTTTCATCACATTAGTTCTTAAGGTTCAAACCAAAATGTAAAAAATACATCATTCCTCCCTCATCTTACCTTTTGCTCAATCCATTGCAGGTCCTTCCTTCCTCTTTTCACTAAAAATGGTGCTTTTCATTTACTCCAAAAGCAGACCTGGAAAAGATTATTCTTTGAGGATGAAAACACAAATGTACACTATTATAATCAAACAAATTACGTTATCAGAGTTAATCATTCCACACAAGGATTAGGAGACGAAAAATTAAAGCATCATATCAACAGAATATAGGAATTAAATATTCAATTCACAATATTCCACTTTCTTTTACTCTTCCTACAGTAGCAAATTTCCTCCTACTTACCCACAGCTTTCATTTCAAACTATCATGTGCATAAAACTGCCTTTCATGCTAAATGAACTTGCTCACTGGAATTACTGAAATATACCAAAGAAAAAAGCAGATTAATTGCATATCCAGGGTAATTAGATTTCTGTAAGCTATGGGATTGGTATTTCTTTTCATTCATCAAATATACTTCGAGAGATGTAGAAAGAAAAACATTAGTATTTGGATATGCAGGGATTTACAAGTTTTCTTTAAAAATACAGCTTCAGCAAGTTTTTCTAATAGCCTTGAGCCTCTACTTTTCATTTAATCCTTTTAAATAGATGGCTAAACAATAAATTCCAAAGACTTCAAATTTCCTTCAACTGATTACATCAGTCAGTTGGTACAGCTATGCAAATTAATAATTAAACAAAATCATGTGAAAAAATCTACTCTAAGATTACATGAAATTTCCCTACTTGAATATACGTCATACACAAAGATGTACCTAAATCTCTGTATTATCCTCAAGATGTGCATAGGTGTTTTATCATCAAACAGCAAGTCATTCATGTTCCAATACAATTCCCACTTGAAATATACTTTATGATCAAAAAGAAACTTTAAAATGTAAAGAAAATATATATCTTATTCCAAACAAGGAGTATGAAATGAAAAATGAGAAAAATGAAAACATGACAACACAAAAAGAAAAAAAACTTTACAAAGTTCCAATTTCTCTTATTCTTAATATACAAATTAAATGGTTATATTAAGGGGACTTTCTTTACCGTTCTTTAAAGAGATTATTGGCGACAAATTCCTATTTTGGTAAATTTGGGTTATGTGCATTTCCGATAACCTTTTGCTATGAGTTGTCTCCCCATAGTTTAAGTCTCCCTTTGAAATTTTGAAAAAGATAATAACCTAGTAACATTACTCTACATTTTGATATATACAAGAATCATCAATCTTACATACCTTATTTTCACACTGAAGACAAAATCAGCATTACCCTCCAGATGATCAACTGAAATAAAACCAAGAGTAGTATGTAGTACATGAAAACTGTACACTACACATAGTAACAAAAAAATTAAAAATCAGTTTATTAATTTCTACATTCCTGAATTCAGTTGACGAAAAATAAGGTCATCATTTTAATTGTATAGAGAATCTTTCATCTTCAATAAATTATACTTTTTTGCTTCACAGTTCCTCTTACCTGGACCTCTGTCCACTAGCAGCATCGGCTATTTCTTGTTCTCCAGTTTCTATGGCTTCACTTCTTCCTTAAAAACGACAAAAGATATTTTTGTTTAGCATACGAGAAAAGGGGGAAAAAAAGAGAGTAGCACAGTCAATCATTCCTCATTATTTAAAAAATTATTTGGTACTTTTGCTTACCCAGAGCTTCCTTTTTCAGGTTTCCAATCTTAATACAATGCCTTTGGATGTGACAGGATCATCCAAGCTTTCCTGAAGATGTCAAGGAGAAAATGCATGAGTATTTTGATTTGGTGTCTAGAAAGTCAACACCTCTCATTTTTCCTTATCTAGTCACTTAAAATAGGGGGTTGGGGCAGTAAAAATGGGAAAAAAAAATACATAAGAAATAAAAAGGTTGAAGTTATTTCAACATAGTTTTTTTCTATCCCTTTTCCCATTATGCAGTTTCAAGTACAAGAATCCCTCTAGTCCAAGCTACATTTAAAAATAGTGTGGATGGACGTTTGATGCAGGTTTCCTTCTCAATATATCAAGTATTGGCATTTCCTTTGACTGATTTCACTTTCATTTTTCTTAGGCAATCAACTTTAACATTAATTCCTATCAATATTCACCTCAAATTAGATTTGGTAACTTACCCACTTCTAGGATCAGCTTCATTTCTACAAACTGGCTTTCCAAAGGCAACTTTCCAAACCAGCTGAAAGTAGAAAAATACTTTTGAAGATTTCTTCCTAACAACTAGGGTGAATAAGCAGAGTTGGTTTCTATTGCTCAGTGAGAGAGAGTTTTTATCATCAAAACTCATCTATACCCTGTAATGGTATCCTCACAAATCTTGCTATTCAACTTTTCATTTCCTATTACAATAATTTGCTAGTTTCAACATTCATGCTGTCCTTTCTACAGAGAATGTAATTTTTATACTTACCCCAATCTTTAA